ATATTTAGTTTAGCTTGAAAGAATTTTTGTTTTTTGTTTTTTAATTTTAACTGTTTGTGTGTGAGCTAGTTTTAACTTTTACATACAAACAAAGCTGCATTTCACAATTCATAATTGAATACAGCTGGAAAGGCCTTTTTATTGTAAGCAGAAAAGCCAAAGAGAGGAAAGAATTTCAACAGTGAATGCTGGCAATATCAAAAATTTTATTCAGGATTTATATTTTAACTTGGCCAATGACCATGACGCAGAGAAAAAGAGAAAGAAGAAAAAGGCAGAATGGCAATTCCCTAAGGCGGAGTCTAGAGGAACCCCCTCAGAAACGAACAATAGGTGACATTACAATAGGACTCCTAACAGTGTGATTCCCATTTTCTTCAATCCAAACAATTTCACCGAACGAAACTTTGCCTTTCTTGTTGCTCTTATACTTCATGGACACATTGTAACTCTGCTTTTCATATGTCTGTCTGAAAACCAATGTTTCTGGTGAGATAACAATGGTAGAACCTTCTGGTTCGACTACCTTAACCTTGTAAGTTGCAGCACCTTGTCCTACATTGGTGACGGTCCTCTGAAAATTTGAAGACAAATGTGTGGACACATGAATAGAATAAAAAACAATAAATGATGGATAATTAAGATCTGGAGATGGGTTTGAACAGTTATAGCTCTTTGATCTGGTGATGGTCATGATTTGCTTCTTAGTGAAATTCGTGGAGCACAGAAGGTTAACGTAGTCCTGTGGGGTTGCATCATAGATCAAACCAGGGTCAAGTGCTCGATTGGGATCAATCTGTCCTGCTCCCATGGCTAACGGTGAAGCATTTTCCCCATTATCGTTGATTGGTTTGTTGGTGTTATCCAATGGATTTGCTGTTGTCACCAATGCAGACCTTATAGCAGCCGCGCTCCACTCTGGGTGCACACCTTTAAGCAGTCCAGCCACACCAGAGGCATGCGGGCAAGCCATGGATGTTCCAGAGAGCAAATTGAAGTCACTCGACAGGGCTATGTAATTCCCAATTTGGGCAGCAATTTCATTCCGGATATATGAAGCCAGAACAACATCACCGGGTGCCATTACATCTGGTTTTAGGATGCCCTGATAGCTCGGGGAAGGACCTCTTGAGGTGTAAAAGGTCACATTAGGCGCAGGCTTTGTCCCTAAAATGGTCTGCTGAAATTGTATGCTTGCAGGAGCCTTGGACTTGGTAGTGGCATATTTGATAACAGCAGGTCCATCCTTTGAACTAATGACTAGTCCAGGACAAGGCATCCTACGCATTTCAGTTTCGTCTGAAATGAAAATTGCTCCGGCAATCCTTGACTCTGTGACAGTAAAGATTTGATCATAAATAGAACCGGTGTTCGCACAGACGATTATGATTTCCCCAGGACCTTTAGATAATAATTTGGTTGAGTTGCAAGCTGTTAAAGTCTTGTTGTAATACAACTGCAAGTCATTCACCAGAGCTGGTGCGGGAAACAAAGTCCATCCGGTGATTGTTTTCCCATTTCTTAGAGTCAAAGTTCCAGCAAAAGACCTGTCAATTGTGCCGGCAGCGACAGTCATAACCCATGGAATCCCATTGTGCAAGGTTCCTAAAGACGGCCCTGCATTTCCTGCTGATGATGAGACCAAAACCCCTTTCTCCATTGCAGCAAATGAAGCAATTGCTATTGGATCCTTGTACAAAGGCACTCCGTCAAATCCCATAGATATGGATATCACATCAACACCATCAATTACTGCCTGCTCCAAACCGGCGAGAACATCAGAGGCATACCGTCCTTCATCCCAGATGACCTTGTACATTGCAACCCTCGCACGTGGAGCCATGCCTCTTGCTGTACCTTTAGCATATCCAAAAAATGAAGCATCTTTGACATAATTTCCACCCGCCGTGGAGGAAGTATGTGTCCCATGCCCCTCCGTGTCCCTTGCGGAGTTCATGCTAATTTTAATTCCAGGATGAGCACCGATCAAACCCTTGTTGAAATATCTGGCTCCGATCAACTTCTTGTTACACAAGGAGGCATTGAATTCCTGTCCTTCCTCACATTTACCCTTCCACCTGGTTGGAACTGGAGTCATTCCGTCATCTTTAAAGCTCTCACTTTCTGGCCAGATACCAGTATCAATAACACCTATAATCACATCTTCACCGTACTTTGAAGCTGGCCATAGGCCATAGGAAGGATTCAGTGACAAGAACTCAAAGGAATGGGTGGTGTCAAGAGTGACGTTCCTATCAGCATAAGCTGAGACAAACCCTGGAGAGTTCTTCAGTGACTGGAGTTCATCAGGAGACACAACAGCACTGAAACCATGAGCAACAGTGTCATAAGAGTACAAAAGAGATAGCTGTGGTGACCCCTGGCCATCTGATGAGGCCGCATTTGTGGATTTGAGAGAGTCAATCATGGAGGAGTACCATCCATTAGGGCTAGTGAAAATTTTGGGCATGAAGGACTTGTCCATATGAACAATGTAAACAGACCTATTTACAGAAGCAGAATAAGCATGAAGGGAAAACAAAAGGAATGCAAGGAACAGAGCGTACAGATTAGGATGCCAATTGAAAAAACCCATTGTTTCTTTAACAACCAAAGACTCTATAGTCTTCTAGCTATAAGATCTGTTTATATAGAACATAGTCCACCAAGCCAATGTGAAAGAGAGGGCGTTTGGGATTGATGTGAGGTTTTGTTGGTTATGGTTGTGTTGAATTGTACTGTGCTATAACTATAACTAAAAGTTATTTTGGTATTTAATTATTTATTTCTTAAAATATCATGAATGAAAATTGATAAATTTTATTAATTATTAATTAAAATTTAAAAAATATTTTATGATATATAATTATTAAAATGGATAACATTTACTACTACTTAATAATTTAGGTTTTTTAGGTTTTTTATAATAGGTGTTTTTTTGGGTTTCACAAGTAACTTATAAAGAGAAAATGAGTTTTTAATTTTTTATGAAATTTTTAAATAAACAAGAGGTTAAATTTAAATAAATTATTATAAATTATGATATAAATGAATTAAACAAAATTGAGTTTTAATAAGTAATTTTATAATCATATTAAATATTAAGTGTTATTCATGAAAGCTACAAGTAAAAAGTTTCAATATAAGGTTTTTACCTTTATATATAAAGTTGTTATAAATTTGATGTGATTTTTTATAGTTTAAAAAAAAAGGTCTAAAAAAAGTTTACCAAACACACATATATATATATATATATATATATAAAAATACTGTAGGACTACCAGAAAAACTTCCCAACCGCAATTCCAAATGCAGTTAAAAGGTAAAATAATAAAGAAATTTAAAAGCCGGCTTCTATTTACTGAGTTTTTCTTAATGGTGCATTTATTGTAATTTTTTTTATTAATTAACAACAAAAATAAAAAATTGATATTAATTTTAATAATTACCTAATTAAATTCATCAAATAATAAAATTGGTAAAATTAAAGTCAACTTTCATATTTTATATAGAATACAATAAATGTATACTTAATAAAAAAAATCATGTTTAATTCAGTCTCTGTCTAGAAATGGAACAGAGTACCACCAATTGGCTGGCACAAATATAAATTTAGTCGAATCGTCTTATCTTTTGGCATTCCTACTACTTTTTATCCCTTGTCACATAAACATATTAAAGATATTTTTTATTGCTGAAAGGTACATTGATTTTATGGTGCCAAACAAGAAAAGGAAATTGAAAATTAAGTTTATCAGGTGATATTTTTTGTATCATCCCTTGTCTTAGAAGACAACAAAAAGCGTAGACTTGACCTTCAAAGCACCATATTCTGCTGTGAAGGGGAGTCTCCAACTCTAATCCTTAGCCGGCTCTTTTAGAAGTAGTACAGGAGACAAACTGGGTTTTTTAGAACCTAAACATAATTTCCGAAGTTACCTCTTCTTTCTTTTCTTCTTCTCCTCCTCCCCCCCTCCCTTTTTTTTTTTTCAGCTTATTATCTAAAAGACTAAAATCTGCCTCTAAATAAGTAAATATTGCGTCTAAAACAAATATTTTAGATACAGATTGTGATTTTTACTCCATTACAAGAACATATTTTCCTTTCGATCATAATTTAATGGTAACGTATTTATGGGATGGGACGAAACCTTGATATATTTAATTTGATGTTTATCCTTTTTTTTGTTAGATAAGGACTCCATCTTTAGAGCAAAGAGAATGACATATTCCTCTAATTAATTTTTGCAATTATTTTAGGATAATAAAGTTTAATTATGCAAAAGAGAGAGAGAGAGAGAGAGAGAGAGAGAAAAGGTTCAAGCCAGAAACCGTGTTACAGATACAAATTGATGATAAAAGTAACAGAAAAAGAAGATAGCAACAATCGGGGCAGCAGTAATGGAAAAGAGACGAAAACCTGTAAAGCAGTAATGGCAAAAAGAAGAAAATCTGTGCAGAAACGGATTTTCGACAAGTTAGACAATAATGTATGGAAAACTAAGGGCTGAGGCTGATGGGAAGATTATTCAGGCATGCACGTCCTTCTCGTGTTAAACAAGGACTTTCATCCATTCTTTGAAACTTGAAAGCCAACCTAGCTGCAGTAGACAAACTTTCTGATGGATGAGAAGAATCCTAGAGACTCCTTTAGTGTTTCTAATTCACCATAAGACAAAGCGGCACTAACATCATGTGCAGCACTGTCTTAGGAGTATAGTAAAAGAAAGAGAGGGTAGAGACAATTCACTTTCCAAAGAGGGGAGGATTTGTTGATTTGAGAGGATCAGTCATAGAGGAGTACAATCCATGAGGGCCAGTGAAACTTTTTGGGCATGGAGGACTTATCCTTATGGACAATGTAAATGGACCTATTTACCGAAACAGAGGAAGCATGAAAAGCAAACAAGATAAATGTAAGAAACAGAGCAAATAGATTAGAATTCCCACTGAAAGAACCCATTATCTCTGTGCTTATTTTGGATATTCTGTTATTCTTATTCCATGACATAAAAGTTTAGTTTTTCAGTAGTAAATTACAATAGTAATTACTAATATTTGTTCACTGAATCTGTCATGTCCTCGAGTTACATTATGGGTTTGAGGTTTTTCTTCTTCTTCTTCTTCTTTTTTAATTTTTTTTCTTTGAAAATTTCAGGGATTGGTTGTTCCAAAAACCATAAATACCAATGATAATTTTTTATGTATTAATACAAGTCCAAAAACATTTAATGGTTTATTAAACAAATGATTTAAGAACAGTATTTTTGTATAAATTTTCATATTATTTAAATAATTAATTTTTTTTATTCATTTGAAACTTATAATATTAAGTATATTAACTTATTTAATAACATATGAAAATTATATAAAAAAACTATATAAAAAAGTTATCCATATATCACTGTCATTTTTATTATTTTTTACTTCCTTATTCTCAAAATAATAGATTATCTTAATTTAATTTTTTTTTATTTTAAGGGAGAAAAATAATTTTTTTCCTATCTTAACTTTATAATTATATCTCAATTTTAATTATCTATTATCTAATTAAAATAATTTTTATTTTTATTTATTTTTAACTGTATAATAATTAAAAATAAAATTTATTCCCAAATTTTTAATCTGAAAATAAAATAAAGTAATCTATTATTTACTAGGCTGGAATAAGTAATATTGATATTTTCATTTTCGCTTTTGGGATCACTTTTAAAATACCTTTTTTTCCCAGAAACACATTCACAAACTCACAGCTCCACATATCAACACCTAAACAGCCCCTACATTGTTTTTTATTTGTTTTATTTACGATGACATTGTCTCTAAGTCAATTTTTAATTTTTACATACTTTGAAATGATCAATTTTTAGGTAATTTTAAAGAGTCACTCTAATATTAATTTGATATATTTAAAAAAATTAATTTTTTAAATATAAATTTTAAATTTAATCTACAAAATAACATATATTTACTAATGAATCCATCATTGCTTGCTCTACATTGTTTGACAAAAGGTTTTAGTTTTCTTTAAAAAAAATTTATTTTTCTTTTCCTTTTAAAGGCCTTACTCCTGTATCTGTTATCTAGTCTAGTCCCCGCTCTATTGATTTTTATGTTTAATTAAAGAGAGAATATGAAACAACGTGTCTTATCTGTGGTCATAAAAGACGTCAAAGGAAGTTTGGATTTTTCTTTGGAGTAGAGTTGATTTTTCACTATTATTTTTTCTAATTTTTGTTTGATATAAATATATATATATATAATATGTTTCTGCTTTTGAATAATTGAGCGACTATAGAACTCAACCAGAAACATGCAGTCTAGATGCAGAATATTCGAATTTTTTTCCACACTATGATTGGAAAACTTTATAAGGGCAAAGGCTGATGTTTAATTATTAATTCATGACTAACCTTGGATGTGATGGGAAGACTATTCAGCCATGTACCTTATTTTCTTGTCAAACACGGCCTTAATCTCATCCACTCTTTGAAATTTAAAAATGTCAATCTAGCAACAGTGCTGTACGGCTCATGCTTAGATGGCCACATGCTTTAGATGGACTGAATTGGTTGACGCTTTAATTAATTTTGACAAGGAGAAATATTAACTTGGACTTTTCTTTTTTTGATAGATAACTTGGACTTTAACGAGTTCTTTTTAGTCTTGCTGATTCATACCTCATTTTGATCTCATTCTAATTTGGTTTCAGCAATCCGGCAATCCAAGCAGGCAAACAACAGCATGAGCATTCCTTGAAACTTCAACGAAAAGTAAACCAACTTAGCATCATCACTCTTCCTATTTCACTCCTATGCATGCTCAAAATCATGAATCACAGCTTCGATATAGAGGAAGAACCTCATATATAGCTTATGCTACATTCTATATTTGTCTAGAATATTAGTTTTTCTCTTCGACATTGTACATCTAGTGATGTTTACGGTTTGAAATATAACCAAGACGAGTTACCAGCCAAAAAAAGGAAAAAACTAAAAACTAAACGACTTAAAACATGTTCCCCTGAAGATGTAACTGCAAAACGCGGCATGGGAGTGTTATTCATTGCAGGCCTCATTATGTTCAATTAGTAGACTTAATTCAACAATTGCTAAGATCTGTATTACCCCATCTATATGGACAGTTTTCAATTTACAAGAAAAAGAAAACTAAAAGAGGCTATCTAAAAGCCGGGACACTAAGCACAATCAAAGATCATACATTATCTCACATTCAACATAGAGGAATACTGCCAATAATTACCAGTCAAAATATAACTTGTGGTTAAGCCACAACATGCAACATATTTAGTTTTACAGTAGTGATCTGTTGGATATTAATATTCTCTTTAAAAATTTTATTGTTAATCTTACTCCTTCTGACTCTCTACTTCCAAAAATATGTTAAGATTCGTTTACTGATTTTTTATTTAACTTTAGGAGCATTATTGTAGAACACAAGATTATGTGGACTTCTATTTCTTGATTAAACTAATTAAATCAAAATTTTAGAAGAATATATAGGCCGATTTTAATTGTTTACTGTCCCACTGACCTGGATTGTTGGGCTATTATTCACCCATTGATTCTCTTGTTAAACAAAGACTCCATCCACCCTCAAAACTTGAAAAACGGGCTAGCAGCAAAGGGCAGGCAACCTTGCTTGTGATGGACCGAGCTACTGCACTGCTCATGCTTAGATGAACTGGAAATTGCAGGACCTCTGAAAATGGACAACGGATAAGGTTCAGTAACTCCGACATCAAAGAAAAATTATCTATCAAGGAATGTCATTACTGTCTTGCTGATTCATTCTTCATTCTCATTTGGTTCTGAGAACTTCAACAGTCCAGTAATTCGAACTGTATGATAATGCCTGAAACTCGACAAATGGACACCAAAATTAGCGACACTAACTAGTTCAACTTCTAATTGACTAATTTCAACTCCTGCTTTAGTGATTTCTCAACATGCAAGCTTACAATTCACAAGCATGAAACCTAACTTTATTAGGTGAAAAGGAAGCGCAAGGGAAGTTTAACTTCTAATAGCTTATGCCGCATTCTACATTTTACATTAGACCAATATATTTGTCTCTTCTTGCAGTTTTTTCGTGTAGCTTATGCTACATTCTAAAAGCTTCCTGGCTGTTTACAACAATGTTAGAATATAATTAGACAAATTAAAACCTGTTCTGTAGAATATTTTAACAGAATATTTATGCAGTGCAGGCATCAATTCAAATACTTCTCCCAATTAATTGAAATATATAGAACAATCAGGAAATGTAGAACCAAAATGATCAATGAAAAAAAGGTAAAGATGCAAACAGAAGGAAAAAGCAAAATGCAAATATTGGCTTATTTAATTAATTAGATAGTACTGCTTACCCTGCATAGCTTCAATGCCACAATGGAAATTCCCTAATCATGGCCTGGAGAAACCCTTTCGGGAACTAGGAGGTGATATTACAATAGGACTCCTAACAGTATGTTTTCCATTTTCAATCCACACAAGTTCACCAAATGAAACTTTCCCATTCTTGTCACTCCGATACTTCATGGCCACACTGTAACTCCGTTTCTCATGTGTCTTTCTAAAGGCTAAAGTCTCTGGTGAGACAACAATGGTAGAACCCTCTGGTTCAACCACCTTGACCTTGTAAGTTGCAGTTCCCTGTGCCACATTTGTGCCAATTAAGGTTACGATGTTGCCCAATCAATTTAATATAAGTTTTAATGGTTTTTATACTTTTGAGATTGTTATTTCATGATAAGCATATATTATTGTTCTTAGTGCTTTTTAATACTTGCTCACTATTAAAATTGACCTAGAGAGTATAATTGAGACTAGGAGGAAATTTTATGCAATAACTTCAAATAATATATACCATTAATCTAACAAAAACCAAAGATGAACTAATATAAACCAAAGATGAACTAACATGATTTGTGCAACATTAGTGATGAATGGATTTAATTTTCCAAAACTAGGTAATTTCATGAAACATAATATATTTTTATCTATTTAAATTTAAATTCACATAGAGATATAGTGGATTAATAGATGAAGATAGATTTGGTATAACTTGAAAAAGTATATCAAATAGAACAGAAAATCTCGATGTCACATAAGTAATAGGAAATCTCATTGTCATATGAGTAGTAGACATCTTGAAAGTATAATAATCCGAAATCTATGTTGATGAGTTATAATGAAATCAAATGCCTTAGTGCTTCATATCTTAGTTTTCTTTATTTTAACAGTTTTTTTCTTTTAATTATTTTTAATTAAAATTTTTTCTTTTTCAGTTCCTATAAATCTAGGAATCCAAGCTGCAGGCACCAATATCTCCACAGAAATTTGACTATAACTCACCAAGGGATGCTTATGGCCATGGAACCCACACTTCATCCACAGCTGCAGGTAACTACGTTTTAGGAGCAAGTCACTTTGGATATGCAAAAGGCACAGCAAAAGGGGTTGCACCACGTGCACATGTTGCCATGTACAAAGCCTCGTGGATGACAGAGCTTGCACTGCCAGGTGTGATTGATGGAATGACAAAAACTGACGTGCTTGTTGCAATTGCTTCTCTTTCAGCAATTGAGAAGGGGATTGTTGTTGTCTGCGCTGCTAGCAATGATAGGTCTTTTAACTCAACTTATAATGGAACACCATAAATCACGACTGTAGGTGCTGGTACCCTTGACCGCAGTTTCACTGCAACAATAACTTTAGGAAATGGGGTAACTTTTGAAGGAATATCATAGTTCCCAAAGAGTGTTTACATTACTGATACACCAATTTATTATGCCAAAGATGATACAAACAAAGCAAAATGCAACTTAGAATCATTGTACAAGAAAGATATTGCTTGAAAGATAGTCAACTGTGAGAACAATAATCGAGGAGCATTAATGCCCAAATGGAGGAGCTTACCAGGGTAGGTGCATATGCAGCAATACTTATGTCAGATTTGCCAGATATAGGAGTGGATCGATACAACATTCCAAATGAGGTCCTCTCAACTGTTTCAGGTGGATTAGTAACGAAGTATGCCAGAAGTGTAAGTGGTGCCAATATAAGATGCATGAGGTTCATGTTAACAATTTTGGGTTCAAAACCAGCACCAGAAGTGGCCAATTTTTCTTCAAAGGGGCCAGACCCAATCAACCCAGGTATTGTAAGACCTGATATTATTGCCCCAGGAATTGATGTTCTGGCAGCAGTCGCCCCAAAAAAGCCCTTCACTGAATTAGGCAAATATAAACTAGTGACAGATTATGCACTATACTCTGGCAAATCAATGGCAGAACCCCATGTTGCAGGAGTGGCAGCTTTGCTCAAAGCTGTTCACCCTAGTTGGAGCCCAGCAGCCATCAAATCAGCTATAATGACCACAGTGTACACACAAAGCAACAATGGTTCCACTTTAATAGACCAACTTACTCATCTTCCTGCCACACCTCGATGCTATGGTGCTGGTCATGTCAACCCGACTAAAGCTATCGATCCCGGTCTTATCTATGACATGGATCAGCAAGATTATATTGACTTCCTATGTGGCCTTGGATACAATGATGCAAAGATGAAAGCTGTTCTTAGACAAAGCCAATGTAATTGTAGCAAAGGGAGAACTGATCTAAACTACCCTTCCTTTGTTGCCATATTCAGCAATCAAGCTACCTCTAATTTTCACTGAGAAATATCAGAAGCAAAATTTTCATGTGAGTGTAGAAATTGATGGAGAAGCTCCACCAGTTGTCTACGGGCATCTCTACTGGATCAATAAAAAAATTAACCATGTTGTATCAAGCCCCATGGTGGCCCTAAAATCCTAGCTGCTAAGTCTTTATATTGACTCTCAAGTACCGCATTCTATTTGAGAAAAAGAGAGAGAGAGAGTAATTTCCACCCAACAATTCAAACAAAAGAATAAAACAGAAGCTTTTTACCAGAAACTATGCCAACATGCTTCATCCAAATAGCATTTAAATTCCGATATCCAAACAAGAAAATTCTAGCAAACCACCATCAAGGGTTATTCCTTTGCAATGAAAAGTAAAAGAAAACATAAAGTGTACTTACAATTGAACTTCAGCTTGAACATCTGATCACTGCACACTATAGCCAACCAGAAGAGTAGCTCTAGGATTACAGTCTCAAACTCGGCATAGTTTGGCTTAATTTAGGGATTCTTACCTGAAAAACACGTTCAGCTTGCCTCTCAATACTTTTACAGAAATATAAAGTTTTACAACAACACTTTACCAAAATCAGTAGAAGGCGAAATTGTGAGATTTTTAGCAAAGGATGAAAAATTCATGCTTTAACTTACTAGCTTTATCACCTTATACTCTCCAAATTACATTCAATTTTGATATGAAAGCAGAATCCCCAACCTGTCGCCCCAAAATTAGAGGAAACAAAATCAGAAATTAAACAGATCCGTGAATTTCATCGTATTCAAGAAGATGATTAGAGGGAAAATAAGCAAAAAAAAAAAAAAAAAAATCTAATGATGTGAGGAAATTCGAAACCGGTAACTGATACAGGAGGTATAACATGAAAAATCTCCAAATTAAACAAAGAAAATAGACTATGGAATTTAGCTACCTGAGAGAAGGGGAACGAGTGATGTGAAGATGCCGGAAGTGACAGAACCCGCCAAAATAAGGAGTGTCTGTTAATGTGGATTTAAGTAGTTGTTGCTAGGGGTGACAATATCCCAACCAATCTGAATATCTGAAGCAATCTGATTCAATTTAAATTAATTTTTAATTAAAAATTAATTAAAATTGTTATTTACTTAGGTCAATTTAAATAAAAAATAAAACTTAATTAAATTAATTTGATTTGTAATTTTATTTTATAGTCATCTCGTCCAAAAGACATTTAAAAGGAATAATTAAAAAAAAAGAAGATTTTTTTTTCAATTTTTATATTCTCACTATTTATTTATTTTTTACACTAACCTCCTTACCAAACCCATAAAAGAAATTTTTTTAGTATTTATTTTTTTATTTATAAAATTTATTGTTGAATCCTATAGGCTATAAAAGAAAATTCTCTTAATATTTGTTTTTTTTATTCACAATATTTAAATTTAAAATTTTATTTATAAGGATGACAATTTTCATAAAAACTACAAACTCCTATGACTTCATGAAAATCCCTAATGCGATGATGAAAATTCTAAAAATATTTTGTTTTCTTTATAAAATTTTGTGATAAATTTCCTTTGTGCTCATAAAGACTCGTGGATATCCATATATAATAAAAATATATATAAATTTATTCTTATGTATATATTTTTGTAAATATATTACCAATTAATTTTTATTCACTCAACCCAATTGACTAACTTAACCCAACTTAAATTGCATAGTCTAATTTCTTTTCCGATTCTAATTTTTTTTCAGACCTAATTCAATAACTTAACCCAACCTGAACATATATGACAGTTCATATATTTTTTTTATGAACTTACTGCTAAACTTGTTAGACGTGTATAGCAATGTGTATTTACTGTAATTAATTACTAAATATTGCTTTGCTACACTATATATTAATATATTTATTTATTTGAGTTATTTTAAATTTTTACTTTTTTATTTATTAAGAAAAAAAGTTAAATTCTATATATTTAATATTTAGTTGGGACTCTGAATACCCGTAACTATGGGGATGGAGACCGTTTTAAGTATCTGCCAAAATTCTTCGTAGACCCATCATTGGTGAAAATGTGGATGAAAAAGGAGTTTTCACACTCATGAGAACCCGTTATCATCCCTATTTATTTAAAAAGAATCAAATTTTTTTCATTCAAATTAATATGTTATTAGTAATTATTTATTTATTGTAACTCTAAAATTATATTATACAATATTTTTATTTATTATAAATTTATTTAATTTTATTTTTATTTTTATATAATTAAAATTTATGAAAAGAATAACAGTATAATCAAATTTTAAAAAATATTTTTTAGACAAAATTGATCAATTTAATCTAAATAAATTCATGTTAATAATAATTAGATTGACTTGATTATAATATATTAACTGAATTAGTTTAACATTTCTTTAATTTAATAAATTAAATAAAAAAATAACAATCTAAAACTGATCCATTCGGACCGCGAACAATTCTAGTTCTTAGGACATGACAAGTGTTACTCTATGGATCCAGTTGTCACATCAACAGCGTACCGTACCGTTGCGTGTTAGGTGTGACCCAAAGGTATTGTTATTTGGATCGGCAATTTCTGATTGATATGGGCTGGACCTTTTGTTTTGAGTCATGACTGAAATCCAGAAACTACATTATTATTATTATTATTATTACCACATATTATAGGGCTTGACAGCTGTTACACTATGGATCCAGTTGTTCCGTCGGCAGCGTAAGAACGTGTGAGTGTGTGACGCCGCGAATATTATTATTTGACCCGCAATTCCCGATTAATATGGGCCTTGACTGGCTGTTCAGTCGGTGACTGAGAAAATCCAGAACCGAAGGCCCACATATAAAATAAGTCATGTTTTCCCATTCACAATATTTTTCCCATTCACAATATTTTAATCATTATTACTATTATATTTTTTTTTAGAAGAAGAAATTTCATTGATCAACTATTAAGATTTCTGGAACTCCACCAAGCGGCTTGATGAGCTGCACGCCTCATTGAGAGAGGGGGGATGTTCATCAGATCTGAAAATCGAACCCCCAGTTGTTAATAACTAATAAAACTAACTTACTAACCATTGTCCTTGTCAAAAAAAAAAAATCTATTAAGATTTCTAAGGTTGAATATTCAAATTTTGGAAACAACATTCAAAAATATTAATTAAAAAAATAATGATAAATAAGATTAAAATTTGTAATTAATGAAGTAGTCATTTAAAATATTAAAAAATAAATTTTATATTATTTAATAATTAAATTTTTTACTTTTTTATGACTTGTAATATTGTATGCATTAATTAATTTAATAATATAATATATGCTATATCATTAATCTTAAATTTTAACCTCAAATTTTTATGTTTCTTATTATTATTCTTTTTTTTAAAAAAATATATTTAGTTGATGTGAGTAGTATGTTTTTAAAATTATTTAAAAATAATTAATTTTAAAATATGTAAAATTTAATTTAGAGACACTTTTATCATAAAGAACCAAAACAAAATTAAGACAGGCAAAATAAGGGATATGCTGAGCGTAACATGATCACCTCCAATCATACTTAGTTTCATTAAAACTTAGTTATTGAATGTAGTCTCGTCAAGGTTTTGTTGGAAATTTTATGAGAAAATAAAGGGACTTGGAGGAGAAAGGGAGAAGCACTGGGGGAGTTTCCTCTTAAGTTGAGGTGAGAACTTATTTTTTTCCTCTATAGCAGAAAACTCAATACATAAAGGTAATTTTTTCACCTAATCCTTATCTAATAGAAGCAAATCTATCAAACATGCAAGACTACATGAGAAGTCTTGCTTCCATTTGTGAGGCTCCATGTGGCTGTTCTTGCTGCTATTTTGCAGCCTTCCATTGCTTTTCATTTCAGCCTCATTTCAGCAAATCTTGCAGCTTATCTTGCTGCATTTTGCTGCTACCGTGCTTTGGTGCAGCTCTCCCTTCTTTTCCTTTTGCTGCCACTTGTGCAGCTTTCTTTTCATTTGCTGCCATTTGTGCAGCTTTGACACCACAGCTCCAACAGGTTTCTTGTAGTTTGCCATTGCATTTGCAGTTCACTAGATAGGTGAGTACAAATTGAGCATCACTACAGGAAGTGGTACACTTAGAAGCGGTTTTGCGGCAACAATAATACTAGCAAATGGAACTAACAAAAACTTAGCGAAATTAATATTTATTAATTAAAAAATTTTAGTTTAGAATTAAGATGATAAGTTTAAATTTTTATAGTGCTAATAGCTAACCATTTAATATATTAAATAATAATAAAAATAAATGGCCTTATATCATAGTCACTCTTGTTTACCGCTTTATTATAAAGCAAAATGTAAGGTAAATTATAAATGTTAGTACATTGGATGATAAATCTTTTAAAAAGTTAAAGCACAAAAAATATATAATTATTATTTTAAAATAATTATTTTACTATTTAAATTATATTAAATTATAAAATAAAAATAATTCTCTTAATATTTAAAATCCTCTCCCACCAAAAAATTTTTTATTTTATAATTAAATATAATTTAAAACATTTTTATTTTACAATTTAATATAATTTAAATTATAAAATAATATATTTTATTTTTTTATAATATAATCTTAAAGTTCAATTATTAAAGTTCAATCATCTGTCATTTCCCAAGTTTTATTCTTTTTTTTTTTTTAACATGAGGAACGTTTTAGACTTTTAGGGGAGGGCATTATGTAGTGGCCCCCAAGCTTTTCGAGCGTGGGTGGGTGGGTGAACTAATGGGCCCTGATGGGCTGGCTCATTTCTCAAGGTATTTAAGTCCCACTAGATTTATTGTCCCCCCTTGATTTTATAAATAAAGAGAATAAACCACAAGAGCAGAAAGTTTTAAGTGGGAAAAAAGATTTGGACGTTTGATATGGAATTAGAGCTTTAGGAGGCACGAGATTTTTGAGTTGTACCTGGGACAAAGCTCCTTTTTAAGTTCATGGATTTGCAAACACAAAGAGACAAGTCAGAGATTAAAGACATGGTCAAAAAAGAAATGAAAACAAAATGCAAAGCAGGCAGAACAGGAAAATGGACCAGAAAAATGCCCAGAATCTAATGGCATTTTTCCTTAATAAGAAGAAATCCTCAACCAAACACCAATGGAGGGGTCCAATGACTCCAAACCCTTTTGTATATTTCTAGCTGTCAAGCTTTCTTATGTCACAAACAAAGTCCCCACAGGCCCTTACTCTTTGAAGACTATTAAGGCATGTGAAATATGATTTGTAGGACCCAAAGGCCAAAGTCCAAAACCAATATTCATCCCCAACATCACAGAGGCAAGAAAAAAAAAAAAGGAAAAGAAAATTAGAGAAGCAGTATTTCTTACATCAATACATAGCCAATGGTTGTACCAGAAAAAAGAATAACATGGCGGTTGGGTACAGAGGACAAGCATACAATGCTACAAAAAATGACATAATCATAACAACGTGAAATACATACAGTTGGAAGCAAGTGATGTGCCTGAAGCCAGCTCTGGATCCAACGACAAGACGTGTTACGTGTTAATTCAGACAAATATGGGTTTGCAAGACTAGTGCTCTTCAGGTGCTTGCTCCCTCCGTACTAAACTATTAGTTTGGACACCACTATCATACCCACTACTGTCACCTGAATCATTTATGTGCTTATCAGACAACCTATCCTTAACACCATTATGCTGTGGGCACATGTGTTCCCGTCCAGTTCTACGGTCCTGAAATTTAAGTGCACAAAGTAGATGACAGGTGAAGGTCAATACAGAGAAGTATGTGTTCAAGAAACATATAGTTTAGCTGTTGCATTTTCCTGACAAAATGCAAATATATCATCCATTATTTATAAAAGCAGACATTATATTGCAGCATAAAGCATGTTCTCTTCTTAAAAATCTACAAATGTGAGTCATAAGGTTGCTTATGCTCGACTTTATTTTCCCATCTACAATGAATCAAAACTTTAAGAAAGCCAAAGAATTTGGAGTAAATTTGAAGAGAGACATTTTTCCTCAAAAAAAGCCCAATTGCTGTTAATTAGTATTAATTGTAATATAAAAACTCCAAATAATCAAACATCACATCAAAAAACGCTACCGAGGAAGTTTGTTTGGAAATGCTGTGTTCAATATTCCTCCTGAACTTATAGCAATTATAAGCATGTGGATTTGAGCAGCAGCAAGTTCATAACAGAAAGAGAAAGAGATTAATACTAGAATAGAAACAACAATGATGTTAATGAAAGGCACATGCATAAATGAGAACTTACATCTCGGAAGGGGTACTCATCAGCCTCAAGCATATGTATTACATGTCCCATCTTTGGCCTTTTTTGAGCATTTGGGTCCACACAGCGTAATGCAACTAAAAGAGCACGTTTCAGTGCCCTTATTGAAGGCTTCTCTGGTAATCTAGGATCCAAAACTCCTTCTGCATTCCGGTTGGTAACCATTGCTTTAAGCCAGTCAACTAGGTTAACCTGAAAGTTGAAATCACCTGGGGTAAATTGAAAGAAAAGGAAGAGCCTAGAAAAGCCATATTGAACAGGTCACTAGACAACGTCATCATTTGACATTATTTGATGAGAACCTACTACCTCTCCTGGAGGGCGGCTGTAATCAACAGGGTTTCTCCCAGAAATTATTTCCATCAGAAGAATGCCAAAGCTGTAAACATCACTTCTTTCATTCAACATGCCAGTGCTAGCATATTCTGGAGCCACATATCTAGAAAACAGAATCCAATAGTAAAAAGCTGATTAGACACAAACATAGGACTAAAATAAATTTCAATCCCAGATAAATTTCACTAACCCAAAAGTTCCCATCACACGAGTTGTTACATAGCTCCTCTCTGAGCCTAAAAGCTTTGCCAGGCCAAAGTCAGATACTTTAGGATTCCACTGCTTATCAAGCAAAATGTTGCTTGACTTGATATCACGATGAACGACCTTAGGCTCAAGCCCCTCGTGAAGGTATGCCAGCCTAAATCAAGGTCGAGTTACAATCATCAGAAACAATAACAAGATATGTGAGAACTAAGGACAAAAGAATCAGGGGTGCAGAAATGAAAACACAGGCAAAAGTGACTCAGTTAAAATGAAAGGCATACCCTTTTGCAGTTCCAAGTATTATATTCATTCGGATTTCCCATGTGAGAGGGCTGTTAGGCCCAACATCCCCATGAAGCCACTGCTCTAGATTTCCATTGTCAACATACTCATAAACAAGCATCCTACAACAACCAAGAAAATCGTATCAGCCCACCAATGCAAGGTGAAGACCCAAAAATTTCGCAATCTAGAATTCTATGCATTAACAAAAACCCTTGCTAAGTTGCTAGCAATGTCACCAACAAAGATTTAAATAAGTACCTATGAGCGCCTTCAGCACAATAACCAAGTAGCCTCACCAAATTTTTATGCCGCACACGTCCGATTGCTTCAACCTCAACCTTAAACTCCTTCTCGGCTTGTCCCCTAGAGCAAAACAACAACCCATCAAATGTCGCCCTGAAGTTATCTCCACGCAACAGCACAACACTAATACTTCAAATTGGACTCAAGCTAGCTTCCAAAAAAATATGCAAATATATAGAATTATACCTGTTATTGAGCAAATTCTTGACGGCGACCTTAGTGTTATCCTCCATAACGCCACGGTAAACAATGCCATACCCACCTTCACCAATCACATTCTCGTCGGCAAACCCATTTGTCGCCTCTTCAAGCTCTCTCAGAGTATACCAATGGCCCCAACCCAAGTGCGAAACTTCCGGTACCGTAATTATCGCACCCTGTTCACCGGAGCGAGCTTCTCCAGACCCATTCCCCGAACCCGCCGACTTTTCCGGATACGAAATTCGGTGGTCCTTCCCTATCTCAATGTGAATTCTGTTGCGCCCAGCAACAGTGCTCTCTTCTTCCTGGTGAAGAACCAAAATTGGGTCCGATTCCAGCAGTGGCTCCGGGTTTGAAGCTTGATGAGGCTTCAACTCCGGGTTTGCATGTCGAGACGGGTCGATCCGAATCTCCTGGATTTCTTTGGAGACATTTGGGATGGTGAGGTTCTGAGAAGACTTGAGGGGGTTGCTCTTCTTGTTGCGTTTAGAAGTGAACCAGAGGGAGATAAGGAAGAGGACAAGGACTATAGCAGCTCCAACACAGATTCCAAGCACAACCCACAACCGCAAACCAAAGATAGAGGTTTTTTTAGAGAGTTTATCATTCAAGAAGGAATAATCAGACATTCTTCTAGTTGCTATTCTTCCCTCAGCTCTTTTCACCACCTAGCAATTAAAATTCCTCAGTTCTGATATCAAATTCGCTAATTTTTCCTGAAACAGAGAAGAAATGAGAATTGCAAGAGATAGGTAAGGGACCCTGGTGGTACAGTAGAAATCATGGTATACGAGGTGATGCAAGAAGGGAAAAATGAGTGTCAATGGTAAATAGGTGGGTATAGAGGAAGGGAGAAAGATGGATGAGGTAGCAGCTGGCATGATGGGACTTCTTTCAGTTAGAGGCAAACCCACTACCGCTTTTTCTCTAGGTAACAAAATAAAATGCATTAACACTTACCTAATATATAATCTTGCACTAT